TGCAGACCCCCCAGCTGGAGCCGCGGCCTTTACCCTCAGACGAGTGCCCACCATTCTGCCTTGAGGGTCGGGTAGGATGGGTGCCCTTGACCTGTGCCCTGTGTACGCTGAATCCTCCACTCGGCCCGTGGAATGCCTCTCCTTCGAAGAGGTGCCCTCACCGCACAAACTGTCATGCAAACTGCTGCGCAAACTGTCGCGCCACGTCCTGTTTGCCTGTCCTGGCTACAGCGCTCCCTGGGGCTGCCTTTAGTGGGAATGAGGGGTGGCTGCCATTACTCCTGTCCCTGCCCATGCCTTGTCAGCTGCCCTCATGAGAGCTGCTGGCTCCTGGCGGGTCTCTGCGCTCCCCTGTGGGTTCCCCGGCTCAGGAAACCCCTCTGTACACAGCGATCTGCCGCTCCACTGCGGGACGCGCCTGCACCAGAGCTGATCGTCTCTGCGAGTGACCATGGCCTCTTACAAAAGCCTGTGGCTCCTTGTGCCTAAGGAAGCAAACGAATGCTGGTAAGGTGGTGGCCAGGCTTCCAGCAGCGAAAGAAAATACAGTGATACAGTGTACCTGGGAGTCTTAACAGGTCAGTGGAATTAGGCAGTTTCCCTACAATTTTTTTTTAATCCCAGTCTGAGCAACACTTACTTGGTACAAGGTGCAGTATTGTGATCTACTCAGAGTAACCCTCCAGAGACTGTTAAAAAAGAGAGCGTCGGTGCTCACAAACGTACCCCTGTAGGGATGCTTGCACAGCTTGACCAGCACAACCCTATTAACATGTATGCAGCTGTGTCAACGTGGCTTGGTTGCAGGGTTGTATGAGGTATCGTGGTGAGGAAAAAATTAATTTTCACTGTGGTTTTCCTAGGGTGTCTGTTTTCCTTGGTTTCTGAGGGATTGTGTCTTCCAGATATGTAACAGTATCCTTGTTTCTGACCTTAACCAGAATCTTTAGTTTTGATTGGTGATTTGTGCAAAAACGTGGCAGAATAAATCACTCAAAAAATGTATGCTTGACTTTCTTGGGTATGCATTTCACTTCCAATTTTTTTTTTGTCATGCTCACTTCTTTGCACCAATGAAGGCATAGCAAATGAATCTAAAAAACTGTATGGAGCACAGTTCCACCCTGAAGTTAGCCTCACAGTGAATGGAAAAATGATCCTGAAGAACTTTCTTTATGATATTGCGGGATGCAGTGGTACCTTTACAGTGGAAAACAGAGAACTTCAGTGCATTCAAGATATCAAAGAGAAAGTGGGCTCATCAAAAGTCCTGGTAAGTAGATTGAATTGAAGCTGAAAGATTATTTGCAAAAGCCTGATAGAAACACTGACACAGTTACTCAGGTTAATTTGAAAAACACAGAATTGTCACGATTTGGGTAAGACATGAAACAGGTTTTAGAAAGTTTGCACAATTGGGTCAATCCATTGTTTGACTTCTTGTTTTCTTCCACATCATTGACTGTAAGTCAGTAGTCTGTTCTGATCCTCAGTTGTATCTGAATTATTTGCTAACACTTTCCCCATAGACAGCTGACCAAATTTTGTTTTTTTTCCTGTTTTTCCTCATCCTTAGGTTTTACTCAGTGGTGGTGTGGACTCAACAGTGTGTACTGCTCTCCTGAACCGAGCTTTAAACCGAGATCAGGTTATAGCTGTACACATAGATAATGGATTTATGCGCAAAAGAGAGAGTCAGTCTGTGGAGGAGGCACTCAAAAAACTTGGGATTCAAGTTAAAGGTACCATAATTTTGTTAAATATGCCTGATACCACTGATGATATGGCCAGTCTCCTAAAATGTACGTTTAGTGTTTTGTTTCATTGATTTGAATTGATCTTCGCAGTTCTCAGACTTTAGTTACCAAAGCACGGTTGCTAATTTGGGACAACCTAGGCCTATTCACAAAATTTCAAACCTAAAATATTAAGCCTTGCTTATTTGATTGGAGCATACAATGAACTGACCCATCTCCTCAGTTGTTGAGATCTGCTGTCTGCTGTTGGGGCACAGCAAAGCAGTGGTATGTGCCGCAGTCACTGGTGCTCATTCACTTTTCTGCTGATGGTTGAGTAATCCTTTTCAGCTGCTGCAAAACTCATTTAGTTGCAGTTTTCTTCAGTAGCTTGGTTAACAGTCCTCCACTGGGGCTTTATTTCTTGTCCTGGTTCTCTTTCTTTTTAAACTGAGAGCTCATTTGGGTGATTGAATGGTATTATAGCCAAAATTTCGTTTTCAAGGCATTTGTTTTTTGCTCTCCTGGCTTCTAAATAGGTGCATTTTAGTTGTTTTTGGAGTAGCTTTGTTGAGAAGCAATACATTCCAAGAGAGCGGAAGGTACCTTGTCATGGCTGATGAGAAGGTTTTAGAGTTTTTTTTTGGTACCTGAAGCACGAGGAATATGTTTGAGTTGTGCAAACAGTGAGAGCTGCTTTATACTGCCCAGCTGATTTATTTCATGAGTAATAGCTGCCTATTCCTGGGGCTGTGCGTAAGTACTGTTGTCAAGTGATTCTGTTGTGTTTTGGTCAGGAAGCGTGACACCAGGTGAGCAATGCTTTCCACTAGTCTGACAGTGTGAAACAGTGCAGGGAGCTTGCATGTTAGCATCTTGCAGATTGGGCTGCAATATCCTGATGCAGCGAAGTCTAAGCTTTGTTCTACACATATCTTTTTTTTTTATTATTATTTTTACTTTTTTTAGTGGAAAATCTGTCTTATTCATGTACTCTCTAGACCAATAAACCTGGGCTCTGGCACGCTGCCAGAGTAACAAATTGAGGGAATCCCTTTGCTGCAAATGCTCCTTCTGTAGGTCATGGAGTTCAGTGCTGGTAAAAGATGCCAAAGAGCCTCCTAGCTGATGTCTGCATTGAGAGCCTCTAAATTAAGAGGCATAATGTACCATGAGTAAATAGTGCATCATTTAATTTTGGTTGCAGAAAGGCCTTGGGGAAATACTGTCCTGTAAACTATTTAAATAAAGCGAGCAAATTATAATCTAAGAGGGGAAGCAAGAACTGAACTTTCACACCGTTGCCTAGCCTCACAATATGAAAAAAAATTGCCCTCTAGAGTAAGTTAATAAGAGAGATAAAATTCTTCTGTTAGAATTAATTCTTGAGGTATTGAACAGCCCTATTTAATGCAGTTAATAGTCAAAGGACTGGAATGATTTTTATTTTCTTTTTTAAAGCAATAGAGTGAAACTTTTTTTTTTGAACCTTGCATAAAAATCTTTACTGGCTTTGCCAAAAAATTCCTGTAATTTCATGCAGTGGTGAATGCAGCTCATTCATTCTATAATGGTACAACAACTCTGCCCATCTCGGATGAGGACAGAACTCCACGTAAAAGAATTAGCAAGACCTTAAATATGACTACAAGTCCTGAAGAAAAAAGAAAAATTATTGGTGACACCTTTGTTAAGGTAATGTTTATAATTATTTGTTGGTTGTTTTGTTTTTTTTTTTAAATGATGATTTCTAGATACATCTTCTACATCAGACTGTTTCCTTCTAAAGCACTGTGCACTCAGTGGCATCAGTAGTCTTACTAAGTTGTGGATGACCTAAGAAGCCATTGGTACGTTACCCTAAGCCTAAAACTTTTGGCAGTCAATCAATGGTCACAACATGGTTCACAAGCATTGTACTAGATCCACCATCATACTTAGATATACTATATTGGTTGGCCATTCATTTCTGTTGCATAAACTTCCATGTAGTGTTTTTTCACCAAATTGATGGGTAATGTGAATTGGGGCATTCTTCTGTTGCTTTGCTGAAGATGAGCCATTTTCCATCTGTCAGGAATTGGTGTTGGTGATGCAGGGAGAATATAACATTTAACAGGCAGCGATGTCCTTGTAGTCTGAAGATATTTTTCCATTTTCTGTTCAACAAAATATGGGGTTGTAAGGACTATTTCAGTAGTGGGCTAGTGTCATAATTAGTCTTCCTGTTTGTGCTTTTGCAGCTCAGTAGCAGTTGTTGGGCAATCCATTATCTTCCTTTTAGACCTTTGACAACCAAAAAGTATATCGGAACACTTTTCTTTTTTCTCTCCATCTTACAGATTGCTAATGAAGTTATTGGAGAAATGAATCTGAAACCTGAAGAGGTTTTTCTTGCTCAGGGTACCCTCAGACCTGATCTCATTGAAAGTGCTTCCCTTGTTGCAAGTGGCAAAGCTGAAGTCATCAAAACTCATCATAATGATACAGAGCTGATTCGAAAATTAAGAGAAGAGGTAAATGAAAATGAGGGTACTGGTGTATCCTTCTGGTTCTCACAGATGTAAAGCTGAGTATCAAAAATTAACAACTTCTATGTTTTGCTGGTATAACTGTCCCATGTTGATGGGACCCTATTCTGATGAGGCCCTTTAGATTCTATTGTAATATGTTGCAATTTGTAACATTTCTTTCTAGTTGCTACATTCCCAAATTAGTCAAAATTGTTTAAGTATTGTCTGGCATTGGATACTGAGGAAGATGTCAACAGATTGAACGTGGATTCATTCAGTGTGAACAATAGTGTTCTCAACTGAAAGCTGTTTCCTCACTCTTTTACTTTTTAACCCTCAAAACAAACCTGCATTCTAGTAAGGAAGCAGAGCAATACCAAATGCCTTTAACGGGAGAGTAGTTTAAGACTTCTCAGATAACGTTATTCTGGTTCAGTTGGAATTCATGATGTAATGGGTCACTTATTCCTTCTGTTGTATCTTGTTCTGGACACTAGTCAATGGGTAGCCTTTAGGTACTGATAGTACAGATCTGGCACATTATGGATTCTGGCAAGAGCGGTGACAGTGCTTTAGTGAAAAGATCAGCTCCTGTTGAGAGAGAGGGCCAAAATTCTCCTTCTCTAAAATCTCTAGTAACATTCAGCACTGCAAGCATAGTGTTCTCCTCTCTATTGAGAGAGCATGAGAATAATACATTTAAATGGGTTGAAATCTAGGGATAGCTCCTTCAGGTACCTACAGGGATGAGTTCTTTCTGTTCTTATGCAGCTTCTGCATGACGTTACTAGTAACCTGATCAGCTATCTGCCAGCAGTATGCTGGTGGCACACAATCTGTTTGCCAGTTGTCAATTTAAGAACCCACAAATCTTTCTGAAATGGCACAACATGGACATCTATGGATAACAACCAGAGGGTTGAAGATGATATGAACACAGGAGGTTGAACTTTCTGAAGATAAGCAGCCCAAGTCCTGTCCCTTTGATTGCACTCCCAATTGGTCTGTTTAGTCCAAAGTCCAGAAAAGCTTTTTGAATACCTTTCTTGTGCAGAGCTCTTAACTATTAGCATATGAAGCAAATGTAGGAGACTGCCCTGTTTTGCCTTTTCTGACATTAGAATGGTAAGTTCTCTAATTGTCTCGTGTTGATTCTTTCTTATAATACGTCACGTAATAACCCTGTTGGAAAGTGCTCAGTTATTAGTAAGTGCTCAACCATAGGAGAGGAAGTAACCATTACTGACCCACACTTCTAATACTGTACAAAGTATTTTTCAAGGCTTTTAGATTGATTTGAACAGCTAGGCAAGAGGAGAAAGGTCTGAATTTCTGCAGACAGTCAGAGCAGGCTTGACCTACAGCTATATCTACACTGATTGAATCATTGATACTTCTGGCACAAACTTAAACTTCCTTGTCTTAGTGTCTGTCCTGCAACTGTTTTCACAAAGCCTACATTCACATGTACTTTTCTTTCCAGTGTTTATGCAAGTGTTGGCAGCTGATGCTGTGAAAAGCTGGCCAGTTTGACTGCCATAACCTAAACATTTGAGGCTTTTTGTTTGAATATGTAAGCTGAAGTGTAAATTGTGCTCTCTGTTTTTTAAGGGTAAAGTAATAGAACCGCTGAAAGACTTTCACAAAGATGAAGTGCGAGTGCTAGGGAGAGAACTTGGTCTTCCTGAAGAGCTGGTTTCGAGGCATCCCTTCCCAGGTATGAGAGTTGGTCTGTGCTACTTAGTGAAGGGCTATGGATCACATCAGTATTGTTTAGAATATACTTAACCTGTAGAATAAATTTATGTTGGAGCATAAAACTTACCTCTAAACAGGAAAAAAATTGATGGATTTATTAGTTTTTACTTAAGGAGGATCTTTTTTCAGGAAAAGAACATTTGAGAGCAGCTTTATTATGTATAGTGATTAAAGGAAAAGTTTTATAATTGAGTTTGCTTTTAGCTGTATTTGTTTCTTTTTATTTGTATAAGCCAAAGCAAGAATTATCAGTGAAGTGCAGCTGAATGCTGCCTGAGCTGTCAAATGTATCTTACTTGAAATAATGGCCTGTATCTGCCTGCCTTTCTAAGGGGCATTTGCTGTTTTGGAAATGATTGCATGGAAAATAACAACAGTTCTCCACCAGAAAACATCAAAGTATATAATATAGCAAAGCCCATGTGCTTTTAAGGGGGTTATGCTTTTCTGTCCAGGTGTTTTGCGATTGTCCTGCAGGGTGTGTAGTAGTCACTGGCAGAGGCTGTTGTGCTAATGTACCAGCATCATGTGAAATGCAAGAAGCTGTCTTTCTTCAAACGTTTCCAGCAAATTACATGTGCTTTTGTATTAAGTAGCTAAAAGGTCAAATAGCCTTCAGGAGTCTTTAAAAACAATGGAGACTCAACTGTATGTTATAACCAACTCTTTCATCCCAGTTGCCTAGCAAAGGGAAGGAGGAGGTTCCTGTTCGCTTTGGCTTGCCATCTGCCACACTTCATCACCACTAACTGCTGCTTTAAACAACCATTCAATTTAAGGTGTAGGTAAATAATGCTTAAATATACCGAACAGAAATATTGTGTTATTGTTCCGGAATAAACTGCTTGTGTATTTTTTTGTCTTGTAGGGTGTTAAGACAATTGAAGTATAGGTACAATGGCAAAGCATACTGTACTCAATGATTGACTGCTGTTCCAGATGCTGTCACGTTTTTAGATGAAAGTTGGCTTTCCTGTTATTTAGTATGATGTTTTTTTCAACTTTGCATTGCAGGTCCTGGTCTAGCAATAAGAGTGATATGTGCTGAAGAGCCTTATGTGTGCAAAGACTTTCCTGAAACAAACAACATTTTGAAAATAGTTGCAGATTTTTCTGCAAGTGTTAAGAAGGTAACAAAATTGCTAAATTCTAATATTCATAAAAGCAGTATGATCATTCCATAGTGGCCTGCAATGAGGTTTAAGCTGCTAGAAGTTTAAAACTACTTACTTCTGCTCTTCAAGGAGTAATGCATTCCAGTACAACTCACTTGAAGCCATTCAGTATAGTACAGTAGAATTTTTTTGTACCATGACTGGTGCAAGTGTTACGCAATTTCTGGAAAATGGAAGTTTATATATCTTTCAAATAGTAAATAAATTTTGTTTTAGTCAAACTTTGTGCAGATGAGGATTTCTGGGGATTTTTCCTTCCCTGAAATAATTGTAGCTTTCTAGATTTGCATGCCCTATCACTCATTGTCTAAAGGAAAGTGCAGGAGCGAGGAACTAGTGCTTGCCAAATGTCCTGAACAGAAACCTGAAGTTTTTAATCGATGATGTTTAAGTTCTCAATCTCTTAACTGTTATGACCTTCATGATTACTGTAAGCTCACTTGAACTAAAGTGCAGGGGGCTGGAAAGTCATTAGCAGAGGCCTGCTCTAAGTCGAAGTCTTAAGTTTGAAACGACTTCCAAAACACTGAAGGGGGGAGTATTTCCTTGAAAACTTGTTGAATTGCAGTGTAGTGTAACAGGATATTGCTTTGTTCTGTGTCTGAAATAAACAACAAAAATGGAAAGTATAGCTTTGTGAAAGTGAGAATGAGCATAGGAAAAGAGCTTCACCTATGGCCTTGGAGAGCTTCAGATTAAACTACATGCAGTCCAATCAAATAAAACTGCTTTTGCTAAAATTTAGTTGTTAAATGAAAGATATTTTTTAAATAGTTCCAAGGGGTAAATGTGGACTAAATTTAAGCAATCAGCTACTTACAATGCAAATAAAATTATTATTTATAAGTTCTGTTTGCGTGCTTGGGGGCTTTATTTAATTAAAAATTATTTTTCTGCATCATCGCACAGCCACATACTTTGCTGCAAAGGGTCAAAGCGTGTACAACTGAAGAAGATCAGGAGAAACTGATGCAGATTACAAGCCTACATTCACTGAATGCCTTCTTGTTACCAATCAAAACTGTGGGAGTGCAGGTAAATGGATTCATTCCAGGGATGTTCTGAAAGCTGCTTCCTAGCAGTGTGGCAGGCTGCAGTGAAGCATAATGTCCCTGCTCATTGCAGAGGGGTTGAACTAGATGACCTTTAAAGGTCCCTTCCAACCCAGACTATTCCATGATTCTATGATAATAATGGCTGCTTTAAGATTAGGGGCTTGACTCAAGAACATAAACTTCAGGTGACTGTGATACCTATGTTATTGTCATTTGTCAGTGCTGGTATAGTGCAAAGGTGTCAAAACATCTGAATAGACACTTGAGTAAATGCCAGGTATTGTATTTGCAGATATCATTAAGGCTGAATAATGCTGGTCACTTATAGGCAATTTCTTTGTGACTTCATAATCTTGTAGACTTCTGCTGTAATCCTGTTGCCCCCTTTAAGGCTGAGGAGTCCTAGGTCAAAAAAACCCTGCTTCCTACATTTGAACATGCTTGTTGCCCTTTCCTGTACTTTTTTGAATTATACTACATCCTTATTCTTGTCAGGATATGGGAACACTTTAATCTCTGCAGTGACACAGTGTTTTCTTTCCTTTCACTCCTTTGCTAATGCCACCAGAATTTTTGTGGGCTGTCCTTTGTATTTGGTTTGTGTTTCTGTCACCAAACGCTGAGCTGCAATTCTCATGGAATTGCGTGCAGTAACTTGGAAGATTTCTTTACTGAGTAGTCATAGCTGTAAAGTACCTTTCTTTGCTTTATCAGTATTGAATTACATCTTTCATTGTCAGCTGCTTAATCTTGTGTGTCTCTTCTGTAACTCCGTGCAGTCAGCTTTTCTTACTATTTTAAATAGCATATCATCAGCAGATTTCTACGCTTCATCATAGGCTTTCTTCAGATGGTGCCATCAAAATAGCAATACACAATCAAACCCTATGCTCAAGACACCTTATATGAATCTTTCCATTCTGAAAATTTTCCTTTTATACGCTCTTGTTAGCTCACAAGAGGTCTGTTGTTCCGTATTTTCTCATTCACTTGGTGTATCTCAGCATACTGATTTCACCAGCTGAGTGTCTGCTAAATGTTGACACAAAGTATGGTCGTGTAACCCATGGGATGAATGGGAAAGTATTGTGAACTATTTTGGCAGCAAACTTTGTGTTCAATTTTTTTTTTTTTTAAATTTATAGGGTGACTGTCGTTCATATAGCTATGTTTGTGGGATCTCTAGTAAAGATGCTCCACACTGGGAGTCTCTTATGTTTCTTGCCAGGCTCATACCACGCATGTGCCACAACATAAACAGGTAAGTGTTTTGAATTATTTTTATTTCTAATGATCTACTTAATGTATGGAAGTTTAGCATGCACAAGCATTCTCCTGTTTAATCTATGGTAGAATTTTTTTACATGTTGGACAGGAATATCATACAGAGATTATAAATACACAATAAATCAAAACATAGGTTTATTTCTGGAATTACTAGCTTGAAAAAGAAATTGATAGCTTATCTCCTAATTTTTTTAAGCACTTGATTAGACAACATCCAATGTAACTTATGCAAAATCTTTTTTGAAAGATTCCAAGCCTGTTGATGAGTTGTGATGTCATGCATTGTTTTTGTGCTTTGTGTCAGAAAGGGAATTTATGTGGGACTGTCAGTTCTAATGGCACATAGAAAAGCTCCAAAGCTGGGCAGTTTAATCTTAATTGAGCTCTGTTGTGAATATGCATTTTCTAGCTACTTGATGCCATAACTTTTCTAACACCTGAAGTTGCTTAGGTATTAAATCAGTTCTGGAGAATGCATATCCTCCTTGCCTGGCTGTAGACTTTCTGATGAAACTGCTTATAATTGCTTATAGCAAAACTTAATTTTGTCACATAAGTGACGCCTACTGAAAGAGGTATTATTCTTAAAGGCGAGATCTGGAATTGCAAGATACTTCTTTAAACTAAATGCAGAGGGAACAAAAGAAGGTATAAAATCAGGATTGCGTGTGCAATTTCGAAGTATGTGCTGGATTTACAGCATTGCTGTCATCTTTAAGCTCTTTTGGATTTAATATTACCCTCCTGAATATACCACATCTCTGGGAGTTCTGCTGTATCAGGGTATGTTTTCAGAATCTTTCATTGATGCTTAGGGACATTGAAGCTGGCAGTTTGAGGAGTGCACTGAAATAGTTGGTATTCTGCCCAGCTGTGCTTGCAGACTTTAAATTACAAACAAAAATAGAGAACGTAAAGCTTGCATATTTTTCTGCTTTGGATTTTAGACAAGTATTCTTGGTTTGTATCTACAAACTCAAATAACTTGTGTGAATATGTCATAGTGAATCCTTGTATGTGGCCTGTCAGACAATATTATACTTTGCTCTTTGTTCTGCAACATACAAAACACAATGAATGAGATTAAAAAGATAAAGCTGATGTGACTGGTTTGAAATATATTTCATTACTGATGTAATTAATGTAGATTTATAAATTGCAGTGTTAGTGCCCTGTGCTGAAAACACAGCTATTCATTTAACAATAAGGTTTCTTTTTTAATGGTATTTTTGGTGGTTTCCTATTAGGAGAGAAGATAGAAATTGTAAGCATTTATTAAGTAGCTTTCTTAGAATAATCTTAACTTTTACTGACATCGAAGTAAAATTGAAAAAAAAACATCCTTTGTGATATCACTGAGTTAGTATTTCTGTTTTTTTCAAAGGATTATTCTCTTGAATAAGTAATATTGGGGCTATTGCTAGTCTCTAGCAAACCAAAATAAATTAGTATGTTTGACTTCCAAAGCTAGCATGCATGTCATGTTTATAGAATATATGCATGAAGTTATATTAAACTCTAGTTAGTAGCTAAGGAGCAAAATCAAATATTATGCTTTTTTCCCTAGTTTTATGTTCTCACTGCAATACTAAAGATGCAGTCTTTAGGCAATCTGTTTTATTCCATGTATACAAAATGTTTTTCTATCATCCTGTTTGTTTTCCAGGGTTGTGTACGTGTTTGGTCCACCAGTCAAAGAACCTCCTACAGATGTCACCCCCACTTTCCTGACAACAGGAGTCCTCAGCACTTTACGTCAAGCTGATTTTGAGGCTCACAATATTCTCAGGGAGTCTGGTAGGTACTTCGCCTTATCCCATGGATTAGACTTTTGTTTCAAGATCCCTGCAAACCTAACTGGGTATAGTTATAGTGGTACTGTCAAAATCTACAAGTTTCTTGATTATCTCCAAAGAAGAGATAAATTAATGGGATGACAGGCAAGAGTCAGACTTTTCAGACTTTTCTGAAAGTTGTAGAAGCTGATAGCTAAAGGACAGGAATTACTAGCCTTTCTGTTAGCAGAATTAATTTTAGGGGATTTTGGGGCACTGAGGCTTGCCTCTGACATGTCATGAAGCTCTGAGGTGTGGTGCTTCACTGCAGTGCAAAATTCTGCAAAAAGTACTGTTAGCCAGCTGAAAAGTCAACCGAATTACTTATCTTTGATCTCAGTCACCAGTATTCACCTGAAGTAAATAAACTGTATAAAGAAACTTGACATAGGTTCTAAATCATGGGGGGGGTTTGTGGAAAGAAGGGAGCCCAAATACTAAGTTTCTAATGGTGATGATGCTCACTACCTGTGGTGGCTTCATATTTCTTAACTTAAAGTGAAAGCCATATTTGTAAACGCAACTACTTCAGCCTAGCAGACAGTAATACTTCAAACCCTTCACATCCAGGGAGCATTCCATACCCTGTGATATGGTACACAGGCAGAGTCTGGGAATATAGTAGTTCTGAGGTTCAGTTTTGTTTGCATTTTTTTTACTTAATTACATTTGAAGATGCGATATGTGTGGGAAGCAGTTCATCAGACTTGCCTATATTTTGTATAAATTCCAAGTTACAAAGGATATCTCTTTGAAAATACATACTCTGTTTGCAAGGCTGTCTTACCATAATTTGTACAAAAATAGCCTCAAAAGGCTGAGGATAACACTGTCAATTGTGTTTGTAAAACTGTAGATGTGTCTCGCTAACTTTTGGTGACAGTTGGCTTTGTGTGAATGAATTGCTCCCAAAAATAAGACTTGAGTTATTTAGTGAAAAAGGCTTCTTGTACCAAGAGCTCAAGCCGGTTGAAGCAGAGAGTGAGAGCCTGTGTAGTGTTAGATTGGCTCTGCAGGCTGCCACGCACCTGAATCTCAAACTTTTAGATCATTTAAACAGTGAAATTAGGGGGTCTGTGTATTGGCTTTCAGAAGGAGATATTTAAAAAAAAAAAAAAGGGAGAGATGATTGTCTGGAGTTACCTATCAACCACCAGCAACAGGGATACTTAAGAGCTTTCTTTTAAGTATGTCAAAGACACAGAGATACTTGTGAATGGCTCTTCACTGGGCTTGATACGGGGATAGATAAAACCCCATGGTTGTTATGTGGGAAGGAAAGTAGATTTTAAATTGCATTCACAGCAAATTACAGGGATAACAGAGACTATCTGGTTTTGTTCTGCATGCCTGCAAATGCTGAAGATTATTTCAAGTGGCAATTTGAGTAGTTTTAGTGTATGCACCACTAATTACATAATTGTATAATGAGCGTGATCTTCTGTGGTGTGGTAGCAGTAGCAAAAAGATCCCAGAAGATGTAAATGTAGTTCCTAGTATATAGTTTGAAGTATGTGTGGGAAATTCTGTAAAACTTTTCACATTTGTGTCTTTAAACCAAATTAAAGCAGTTTGTACTGCTATTTTTCTGAAGGTTATGCCGGAAAAATTAGCCAGATGCCAATAATACTCACACCATTGCATTTTGATCGGGACCCCCTACAGAAACAACCTTCCTGTCAAAGATCTGTGGTTATTCGAACTTTTATTACAAGTGATTTTATGACTGGTATTGCAGCAACTCCTGGTAATGAGGTTCCAGAAGAGGTAATACGTGTTTTCAAGTTTCTTTTCAACATGAGCTAGTACTGTAGATGACTCATTTTGACTTTCTTCCCTCTCTCTTGATTGCTTGCCTTGACTTTGATTTTGTTGCAATTTTTTGTCTCTTTCACAGTATTCATTAGGAAGAATATGGTGGTGTTTTGGGGAAAAAAATGTATCAAAATGAGAAGCTGGCAGATGGGTATGACAAACTTAAAGGCTTTCCGGCAGAGTTGAGCCAAAAATACCATTAATTAAAAAAAAGAATACCCCAACCATTCCTGGGATTTTGAAATTAATTTTTTGCATTAGTGATTGGAAATGACCTGGCTTACAGAATTGCCCTTGATTGCCACTTCTGATTTTACTGGAACCTGCTGTTTAACATCTCAGTGTGCTGTTTTCTATTTAGGTCACTAAAAGGATTTAGGAGTCAAGTTCAGGCATATTTTTCTGGGAAATTTTATCCATGTCCAGTTTCAAGTACTTTGTGTCTCTGGGAATGTAGTGTAGACGAAGAACAGGACTGACTTTTTTTTTTAAACATACTTTAAAAGCATATAGGCATTGTTTAGTAATTGTATGTAACTGAAGTCTTCTATTTTAAGGCAGCCTATCCATTTAAAAAGAAATGATTCAAGATTAAGTTACCATGTAAACTATTCCATTACATAAAATGAGGATTCATTTGACCTTGAAGTTTGTGTTTAAAAAAAACCAAACAAACAAGCACAAAACAACCAAACACCACAAAACCCACAACCAAATCCCCCCCCCGCCTTCTTCAAACCCACTTTAAGGCTAGGTAATAATGTGGTAACAAAATAGTAGAGGTTGTGAAAAATACCTGTGTTTATGGGGAAAATAATCATATTTGATTAAAAATTTTCTGTGTTTTTCCATGGAGAGCAATGCATTGTTTAATTTATGCTTGCACTGTAAAACAGCATGTTATGTAAGTGGCATTGCTACGAACTGTGGGATTTTTAAGGAAGCTGAATTTCTAAGGATCAGCAGATTCTCATCTAGAATACTTTTGTTAACATGAATTGATTGTGAACTCTGGAGAATAACTCTCCATGGAAACTCTTCCCTTTGGATGCCACTTTCTGTTTTGTTTTTTTTACCTTTAGAGCTCCCTTTTTTGTTTTGAAAGGGGTTTCACTCAGGCTGTTGCTTCGTGTTTGATGGTTCAGCTGGAGATGATGGTCTGAGAAAAGTCTGAAAATGATTGATAATAACACAACAGTGTATGTTCCTGCTGAACTCTCAAGAAATAGTTTTGAAGCTGAAGAGCTGCTGCCTTGAGGGAAGTGTATTGCAATCGACACCCTGGTTTAGTATCAGTGACAAAAATCAGCAAGTTCCAAATGTAACTGCAGATATCATGAAGCTAGAGGTTTTCTTTAAGTTGATTTTATTTCTTAATTGGTGGTAATATACTTATAGCTATAGGCTCTTTCTCTCTTGTGTATAACAGAATTAGTGTGAACAAAGTCTTCCTTTTTTAAGCTTTTCTCAAGATAGTTTTCATCAGGTCTGTTTTACATGATTTCTTCTGATATTTTTTTTTCTCTGCAATAGGTTGTGTTAAAAATGGTGGCAGAGATTAAGAAGATTCCTGGCATTTCTCGGGTGATGTATGACTTGACATCAAAGCCACCAGGAACTACGGAGTGGGAGTAATTAACTTTTTTCTATTAAAGTACTGTGTGCAGTCTAAATCATATCAGAAACCATTCCCAGTGTTGACATGCAGTACTGTGAAAGAGTGACTGGAGCTGCTACATCGCATCAGATTCCTCTCCTGGAGCATAAATCTGCAGTTAAGAGCTATGCTGGGGATAATAACTAAGTGGGGCTGAGGATTTGTACGGGTAAATAATCATGGCAGCATTGCCGGTGCGCAGACAGATTCCTATTGCTTTTGCCTTTGTCTTACCGATTCTTCCTGTTTTCATGTGTTCTGTTGTTAACTGTCATTTCAATGTCTCTTTGTTTTTGTACACTGTGTAAAAAGAGACAGTTTATTTACTTCTACCAAAAGCATTGTTACAGCCTAAAAATGTAAAATGAATTCTTTGTGACCAACTGCTTTTGAACGGATTTATTATAAATAAATATTTTGCCAAATGGAGTAGTTGATACTGTTGAGTTGTGGAATTACTGTGTATCTGTTGTATACTGTTAAGCTTGTTATATATCGTTTGATGTGTTAGCCCATGGCAATAATGTTGAGCTCCAAGAGAGTAATGCTAAAATATTATTAAATGACCTGTCTGTCTTTCTGTACTCACTCCCTCTTGCATCGCTCAGTAGGTGTGCGTTTTGGTAACAGACGTGTATATGCAGGCTAATCTTTAGTATACACTTACTGCATGTATGCATATGTCAAATTCCAGACAGTGAAGTATCTTTGTGTGCTTCTGGGGACTCCGATAGAAGCATAAAAATGGGAGTGAAGTTTGGAAAGCTGTTGCACCAGAGCTACTGGATCTGCAAATCCTGTTTCTGTCCTCAGATGCTCACGCAACAGTCCCTTCGCAGCCTGCTGCTGATGTGCTTTTGTTATACTTGATGACAGTTTATTTTCTACACATTTGCTTTTACAGGATTTTTTTTTTGTATGTATTGTACTTAGCTTGATCTTTAAGATCATTATAGTTGTTAGTGTGGAGTCATGGTATTGGAGTTGACTTATCCAATCCATATAGATCCCTTCCGTCATTTGTATTCTACTGTTTATGTAGTTAAGTAAGCAATAATTTGGGAGATGGTTACATTGGACACCTGTGCTTTTCTGATGTATTGAGGCAAAGCTATTTCCATCCACCTGAGAACTTTGAGCATGTGCTGTGATTGCTGTCTGTGGAAGTAACAGTTAAATTCTGACCTGAGCAGCTTGCTGGGTGCCTGCCGGGTACTTCCACCGGTGGAACCGTAACCGTGTATCCAGGCTTATCCCTCTTACCCTTTTTTTTTTTAATTTAAGAAGTTGCATTTCATTCAGCTGCAAGATTACCATAGTATTATGGGGGTGAAATACTTGTTTTAAACTGTTCAGTAACATGGAGTATTTCATGGCTGTAGCTACTTATATTTCCACTTGCATAGATTTGTGAACTGGAATAATGGTTGAAAGTGTTTGTTCTATATTCTTTTGATTGCACACATTTTCCTGTTGTTCTTACATTTGCTGCCTACGCATTATGGAAATTTAGTTTAATTTCTGCTTATAGGAAATGGCTAATGTGTAAATTTATTCTTTTGCCTGTGTCACTGAGCGGTGGTTTTTTGCTTGGGGAAGGAGATGGCGTGTTACAGCCCTCTGCTTTTCGAAACCCTTTGGGGACACAGGCGTGCAGGAGAGCAGCAGACCAGTGGCCAAGACAACTGCCTCCCCCTCGCGGCCCTGCTCCTAGCAGGTTCTGTAGCCTGGGCAAATTGGTCTTAATCGATGTCTCAGTTGCCTCCTTTATAAAATGGGGGTAGTAATTCTCGCCCACATCCACCATAACCTCTTTGAGCCCTTTGGATGAGCTTTTGGTGATGTAAGTGAAGTATTATCAATACGAATGTTCTATTACTGGACTGTGACCTGTAAGAGCTGTTGGTCAAAACCACTGCAAATCAGTGTTTGCTGTGGCAGAATCTATTATAGGATGGGTTCTGTTGAAAACAAATTTTCTTTGTAGCTTATCTCAAAAGAAAGCTCCCCAATGAAATTATGACTTTAGAGTACATTTTAACTTTTTGTCAGAAAAAGTTGAGGATAGTTGTTTTCATTACTGTGTTGGTATCTCGGACGTAAAAGGTGCAATGACAAGAAATGAATCTTTTTGGTGTGATACAGAAATCCTTCAGCCTTTTAATGCTATAGCAGTTGTTGCTTATTGTAAGTAGGCTTGCTCTTGCTGCTGCCGCTGCCAGTTTGTGTTACCTTGACAGCAAATAGGCAAAGCAGAAGGGATTACTAAAAAGTAACGCAAAGACTATAGGAATTATTAAAAAGTAATGAATGCAGAGAATATAGGAACTACTAAAAAGTAATGCAAAGAATATAGAGCACCTCTTAAACCCAAACCTTTCTCAGTTTTGACTGAGACGCTTACTTGGTCTCCGTGTAAATAAATCTGCAGTATATAGTGCCATAGTTACGATGTAACTCACAAGAAAACTTGCGTGGTGATGGTGATGCCCATTGGGTTGGGGGTTACCGTAACTGTTGTACCTCTGGACCACAAACTTGCAGCATACTTGGACATAAATCTTTTATTCATTGCATGTTGCACACTGGGAAGTCCTTCTTTGAGTTGCATCTAAACTATAGGTATGATGTATACCTGTATTCTATGTGTATACTGAAGTTTGACATACACTTTCACCATCTTTTAATCACGTGGGTTGCTTTCATGTCTCTAATGAAATGGAGCTTGACAGCAATTCCTGTGCTCATTAGGAAGATACTTTGGGTTTGGGTTTTTTTAAGCCAGAAAGTTGAATATTGAAAATTTTAGGCATAAACTATTGCACTATAATCAAAATGTCTTATCAAAATGAAATTTGTGATCTCTAGCTCTCTTCCCCCTGTTTGACACCTGTGCCATGCATTGTAGACATGGTGGGTTGTTCTTAGGAAAGTTGGTGTTATCCCAGCGGTTCTTGAGTGTTTTTATGGAATCCATGTGTATCGGACAGCCAGAAGTGGAGAGAAACATAATACTCTGTTCACATTTCTTTTAAAAAAAAATATATATATATCTAGCACCTAGTTTACGAACTAATAACTGTAGCTGCCCTGTTCAATTGTTCACCTCGAGTCTTCAGTAAAACATGTCAGCAATTAGAGGAATTTGTATTGGGGGCATTCCCCATCATTCTCAATTTTTAACATTTTTCTGCTTGTGAAATGATAAAGTACTGTGAGCCTTAATTTTTATCCACAAATAAAAATATTATGTTTGAATATGGGTGTGACTTATTTTTTAGGGCTTACATGTAGAAAACTACATTATAAATGGACTGTCCATTTTGGGTTGAAAAAGCTGTTTTGTGGCAGGTGTGCTTTCTGGCTGCAGACCATCCTGGGGTAAGGAGACATCCCTGCCGGGGCATGGCTGTCCCTTGCTGTGTCACAGCACAGGACACCCTGCTGCAGAGGAACGGGGTACTGCGTGGTACTTGCCTCGTGCGTGCTTTTGTACTGTGATACGCTATGGCAAATGTAATTTCTTCCTAAAAACATGTATAGAGCCTTTTCTAGGGCTCTGTTCTAGCAGCCCTGTTAATTAACCTAACCTGGTGATGCCCATGTGGACTAGGACAGGCTGCTCTGTCCCTCAGGGTGCTGGTGGCCTGCAGTGTCCTAGTGGGGAAACTCCCCCAGCACCTCATTGCATTGGGGTTGCAGTTAGTTTTGTGGCAGATGTCTGCTGCTGGTGTTTAATTGTTTTCAGCAGTAGGTCACAGTTTCAATACTGCATGCAAATTTCCCCTCTAAAAAGAAAAAGGCAGCTGAGGTAAGAGTTATGAACAAAACCTTCAGGTGCAGCCATAAAGAGCTGCTGTCATCTGCAGGAGAGAGTGAGTGGGCACTAGTCGTTTATCTTGCTTGAAGATCCTTTCTTGCAATGCACAAGCTACACTCTGAAATCAAAGTGAACAAACCTGACAGCCATGATTTCAGTATAAATGATTTGGCCTTAAGCGCTGCGGTGGTTCTGGCTCCGGGGGCTTGGGGGCACCGTGGGACTAAGGTTTGATTGACCCACTGCTAATGATCATCTCCCTGATCTGTGATGTAAATAAACTCTTATCCCCCAAAGAGTGCAATAGCAAGTTGTTCTCATCCAGATCCTCTGGCAGTATTTCTGAGGGGCTGCAGTGCTGCCGGCAGCCCTCTGCTCCATCTCCTGTTGTGCCTTGGCAGCTGGAGCTGCAGCAGTCGCCCCACGCTTGGGACCCATGTACCTCACAGAGACTGCAGGGCTTTGCTTTTTTGGAGGGATTGTCTTCCTGTAGGGAGTCTTCAAAACAAATGTCGTTTTACATGTTTTTCTTCCATAGCTCAGTAGTGATGGAGACTCTGGGGCAAAACTCTGTGCAGTTTCCAGCCTTTCAGGAGAGCATTAAGGGATTTCAGAGAGAAGCAGCGGGAAGAATCCAAGGTAAAGATGGCATGCAAGTCTTGACTGAGCATCACCCCAAAGCGCTTTGGGAGCTGGGGATGCAGCAGGGGTGGTTTTGAGCAAGGGGACGGCTGCACGATTGGGCTCATTGGGGAGCACGGGGCTGTGGGTGGCAGGGAGCAGGGATGCTTCTCAGGTCTCTCCTCCCAGTTCCCGGCAGCAGGGCCAGCGGTGTGACCAGCGCATCCCACCGGCTCTGGGTGCAGCCCCATGTCCACCCAGGGAGCATGGAGGTGCTCAGGGTTTGTGTTGTAAGAACAAGCAAGTTAGTGGGAGCAACCTCTCACAGCGTGAAAGCAGCTGCGACAGAATGGTTGCAGAAATGAAGCCAGAATGTTTTTCACAAAATTGCAATTTTCCATAAAAGCTTTTTCAGAAACTTCACAAAATGAAAAGGAATTTGTATTACTGGATTTTTTGTTGTAGATTTGGAAGAAGTTTGTTTACCTTTTCAGCACAGGCTGTTCCTGCAATACTGCACGCTGCAGCATGGTACCCTCTATGTCATGTTGGAGTTTCCCCTGATTCCATTTCCTCAGTTAAAAATACTTAAATTAGTTTTCTAGTGATGTTGTATCAGTTAAGTTACTTTAAATAGCAGGGCACCTATTTCTGGGACTGCTGTTCTTGCCCTGTGCTGGCTTTATTTAAAGGAATCCTTATTCTTCTATCCCTCTCGCTTCACCTTAGTCCAGTAATGATCTTTCTAACAGAACAAAAAGCTTCTATCTTAAAATGTTTCTGCTGTATTTTACAGTGAACACAGCTCCAAGGCGAGGTTTATAACTTTGAATCTGAGGTTGGCTTAGTCGCTGCGCAGTGCCAGCTGCAGCTCGGCCGGT